CTGCTTGCTGCAGGCATAAAAGGCAACGAAGACCAAGTAGTAACAGTGAGACCTTGCAGCAGGTGCTTAGTCTGGGACTCTGTTTCCAGGGGGAACTTTGAACTAGCTTACTCACATGGCTTTACCTTCCTGAACAGGTTTACATGATGGGAGGAAGCCACCTGTGTTCCTAAAAGAAGCTCACAAGGACAGAAATTTGCGTTTTGATTTTAAAGAAGTAGCTTGTCCTTTTGGGTGCCAGCCTGGCTTTAGATGCTTTGTTGGCAGATTGACTTAAAAGTGCCTGTAATTATTTCATTAAAGCAAACGCCTCCATGATTGAAAGGTACTTAAATGGGCTCCCTCCCGTTTGCCTAATGCTAACCGCCAAGGACTCTCTCTCTCTGTTTCAGAGGCCCCCTCCCCCAGGAAACTGCGCAGTGACTCACCAGGTATCATGCCTTCAGCTTTGCTGCGGCTCGTGTGTTCACTCAGTTTCCATTTCCTTTCTGCCCATCGCGCCCTCCCTGCCCCTTTTTTTGGCCCTTGCAAGTTTCTCTGAGATTCCTGCAAAATCTGAAGGCTCGGACATCTTAGTTCAAAACTGTCCTTCATCACAACCAAGATCAACGCAAGATGACCTCATGCCTTGACCCATTCTCCTTCCCTGCTTCTGCTTTGGCATGACACAGCACCGAATGTGTCCCTGAAACCACGCAGTGACAAGAGCTTAGAGGCTGTGTCACTTAGATTGTTCTTACCTGCGTGAGAGGGCCTCTCTTACCCTGTTAGGGACACTCGCCCTCCCTCGTCTGGCTAACACTGCACGGAGCAGGTATGACAACACCACGATGTGGGCACACTCCTGGAGAATGGCTTCAGTCTAGTTCACTAGTCAGAATTAACAAAGCATAGGTTCACAGAAGCACAGCCCAGAAATCTGCCCCCTCACCCACCCCCGGGTGGGGTTTCACAAACTTGTCCGCAAGGAAAGTGAGCTCGCCATGATGCCTTCCAAGTGCTGGGGCTTCGGGAAGGCCTGGCTCCTAGCTGCATTTTCAGCACGCGAGGGCGACATGAGCGCGGGGCGGCAGTGAGGCCTGGCTCCGAGCTGCGTTTTCAGCATGCGAGGGTGATGTGAGCCACCACAGAGCTGGCAGAGTCCTGGCAGAGCCTCTTCCAGATTCTCACTGCACGTACTCACTCACGGATGGGGGCACGGGTACCCAAGACTCTAGGAAGCGCCTGGGGCCCTTCACGAGGCAGAGTTAAGAGGTCTGGATGTCTCTGGGGGGTCTAACCACCTTTTCATACGTAAGGTAGGCGCCTGGGGCCTGGTTTTCCTCTCATCCTCCTGAGAGGCCGAGCAAGCCCTGGCTGTGTCTGTCTTCCCTTTCCAAGAATCTCAGCTTTGCTGTCACTACTCAAATACTTAAAGCTGGATGAGGTCTTGGCAGGAGCTTTTAGCCTCAGCTTCCGAGCTCTCCTGCCAGCTCACTGGGAACATAGGATTAGATGAACTCTGGGGTCACCTGCAGCAGGGGACCCACAGATAATGGGGGCTCCAGTCCTGAAGCAGCAGGTGCTTACACCCTCATGTTGGTGAGTAAGTTCTCTGAGCCCACAAATAGAACCCACATTCTCCAAGACCAGACCCTTTAAGAAAACCTTTACAGGGGTCCCTTACTTCCTGCGACAGTTACAGCCAGTGTCAACCTTTGCCTAGGATTTTAAATCAGTCCCTTCAAGGCAGACACACCTGAACCAGACAAAACAGGTTCACAGGGCTGAAGCCTCAACAAGGGACTTAGTGAAGTGACCCAGGGAGTTTCCTCCTCAGACCAAGGAGCCCGGCTATCAATTAGCAAATACAGACTCTTCCAGGAGGCAGGGTGCCTGGAAGAACAGGAGGCACTGATTCCGGCCCAGGCCACCCACCAACTTTCAAACCTGGTGGAAGTAGGAGAGAGCCTGGACTGCTGCTCCCCCAGGGCTCTGAGACCCTGCTCTCTGGCCCAAATTCCTAGAAAAAGACTTTCAAGGTTGCCACTAGAGGGAGATGGGAGTGGGGGGCCTAGAAGTTGGCCTGAGTCTAGCTGGGAGTGGCTACAACTTTAAGTATTCCTGATCACCGTACCTTGGGGGTGCCATCCCTGCACCTGGTGGGTCTCTCCCACCCTCAGACCCCAATTCTGTTGGGATTCCCCCCCCCGCCCTCAGCGATCAGGATCCTATGGGCCTTGCTTATGCCTCCAATCTGACCTGCCTGCGTTGTTCTTAACTCAAGTATCAATAACTGGGATGGGCTCACCTTCGTGGCTTTTCTGTCCAGGCTTTGCGTGGTCAAGCGGGTCATTTTTCTTACAAAGTCTGCTTTCTTCTTAGACATCCTAGAATGATTTAAGACCTGACCTCTGAATCAGGTCAAAACAGGGCCAGGTGGCCAGAGCCCCATACAATTATTGGTTGTGGCCACTGAAAAGGAGGCAAACATTCCTTCCAAACCATGACGGTTAAGTGCAGGTGGAGCCGGCTTTTCCTCCTCCTGCCAGCCCGCCCTCCTATGCAAAGCCTCACTTCAGGTGACCAGGGTCACCTGAGGGTAATGTAAGTGGTCACTCAGGGCATCAGGTAGGACAGAGGGGACAGGCACGGTAAGGACAAAAAGGGGTGCCCTACCAGCTAGAGCTAAAATACACCTTAGAAAAATAAGTGGAATCTGTTAATCCAACACATACTCATTGAGCACCTATTATAAGCCAAGAATGGTGGCTGCCATGATGAGTAAAAACACAGTTGAGACCCCCACCCTGGGGAAACTCAACCCAAGAATTCTGTTCCACCAAAGCTGGGCGCCAAGTTGCCTGTAACCAGAGCAACCGCGCAGGGACCGCCTTCCCTCTCAGGCTGCCCTTAACACAGCGGTTCTCAACCTGTGGGTCGCGACCCCTTTGAGGGTCGAACGACCCTTTCTCAGGGGTCGCCTAAGACCATCGGAAAACACATATATAATTACATATTGTTTTTGTGATTAATCACTATGCGTTAATTATGTTCAATTTGTAACAATGAAATTGGGGGTCACCACAACATGAGGAACTGTGTTAAAGGGTCACGGCATTAGGAAGGTTGAGAACCACTGCCTTAACATCATTTCCACCTTCTTCCAGTTGCAAACCTAAAACGCTTCCCTCGTCCCCGCTCTGAAGGCAAGGTGCAGGATGAGAGCATTTCTCCTTCATACCTACTCCACAGGGTATGAATAAACCCATGCGGACATGGTCACCGCAGACCAGGACCCTGGAGTCCGTGAATAGCAGCCAGACATGGAACCTACTTTCCCCCACTCCAGCTGATCAAATGTAACCAAACTTTGGAACTGGTCAAGATTTGTTGACTTCAACCTCAACATTTGTGTCTCATTTGAGTTTTTCCCCCCCTTTCTAAAAGTCTCTTAGGACAATTTCTGTACTAAAGAAACGTGTTTTCTTAAAACCCACAGGCGAGGAAACGAGACCTCTTTTGTTCCCTCTAGAAGGTCTGGAGGACGTCGAGTTATTGAAAACGCGGATGGTTCAGATGAGGAAATGGATGCTCGTGATGCAGACTTCAACGGCACCAAAGCCAGTGAATAGACAAACTTGCTGAAAACAAAAACAACACCCAGTGGACTCTGCTTAGCACTGTCCAAATCCATTTTCAAATTCCAAACCTCACAAACACCCCTCACAACGAACATAACACCTCCCTGTGCTCAGGGCATCAACTTAAGTTTTGAATCGTGTACCAAATGAGAAAAACCAACAGGAGACACAGACACACCCACTCCCCCTCTATCAAGGAACTGTGCAGAGGCTTTGAGTTTTTAGATAAATAGATCCACAGTAACTTAATCACTGGCAACTTAGTTTACATAAAATGGGGAGAAAGTCACCAAAATGGGTGCCACTGCCCCTCCCACTCCCAAGTCATTCCCTGCCCTGTGTACTCTTCCAACATCGTGAGTAGGACCTGGTTTGAAAATTCTCCCCCGTCCTGGTTACCACACCTCAGATGCACACAGTTCACTGAGACCAAGTGCCTTCCGTAGTCACCTGAATTAAAAAGGAGACACTGCTCGACTGGACAAGAGCAGGAATGTGACACTGTTTTATATGCACCCCGACTGTATTTAAGGACACCCTCACAAATAAATAAAAGGATTAAATCACTGGAACATAGTCGGTGTTCGTTTTCTACAGAGCGAAAGAATGGGGCCGGGGGGAGCAGAGACGACCCTAAGAAGTGAAGGTTACTTCTTAAATGGAAAAACTGAGGCCTAGGGAGGTGAAATAAACTTGCCCAAGTTCCCACCTGGCAAAAGAGCAGCTGCCAAGTGAGTCTGTGCAAGGGGTTTCTCCAGCCAGGAGGTGGGCAGCTCGAGCTCAGAGAGGAACATGATCAGGAAGAACATCTTTATCCATCAAAACCAGTACGTATGTGATGTGAAGAACACAAGCTTTCCTTGAATTTTTAAAGTTAAAGCACAAGACTTCGCACAGCAGGGGTTGACAAACTCTGTAAAGGCCAGAGGGTAGATATTTTAGTTTACATATGTCTCTGTCACAGATTCATTTTTTTTCTAAAACAACCCTTTAAAAACATCAAAACCATTCTTAGTGTGAGGACCATGAAAGGCCAGGCCATGGGCCTTTCCTTCCTCAGCTAGAGGCTCCACACAGAGATTCCTTGCAAAGGTTCCTTTCACACTAAGGAGTCCATGCACCAACACCGGGGACTCAGAGTTGAGAAGAGAGCAAATACGGAAACGGCGAAGGCTCCGCAGAGCGACCAAATGTGAATATACCCTGAAAACTACACAAACGTATCCCCAGTGCAGTTTGAAGAAGTTGATTTGGAGGAAAACGTTTAAAAAGTGGGTTTTTTCATATTTAGTTACTTGGTTAGGAAGCAAACTTTTCACCATATGAGCAAACACAGAAGCACACACGAAGCAGCATTTACTGACCACCACACACTAGTTGAAAATTAGTTTCTCTTGATTTTATTGTTCCTTTAAAAAAATAAAAGTACATCTTTTCCCATTACAGGTTAAATGTTTTTAGGATAATGAACCAGGCACTGAAGTTTAATTCCCTGTTGAATTTCAGTAGCACTTGAAAAGTTCTATTTTCAAAGCAAGGATAGCTTTGCTGTTCTTTTGGAAAAATAACTTAGTTACAAAAGGAAGGTTGTTGAACTACACACATGCTCCTGAATTCATGTCTTCTTTTTACGTGTGATGGAGAGCGTGAGACAGCCATTCCCAGCAAGCAGAGATAAGCATGTGCCCCGTCCACGTTGAAAATCCTGTGTGCGTTTCTTCTTTGACGAGAAGCGTCGTCAACAACAATCCTGGTGGTTTAACCTTATTTGAAGGTTACCCTGATTATTTCATTATGGCCATCAATGAAATTCTATTCTTAAAGGCTCTATTTCCAAGGCCGCTCCAACTGCATGACTTTGCGGGTCCTGAAGCAGAGGTCACCCCCATGCCAGGGGTGGGGCACAGGACAAGTAACGGTCAGGACACATGTAAACAGGAAAGGTTTTCCACTGACCTGGTCCACATAAAATATACTCTGAAACTCAGGCACACCTCTGAAAGCGTCAATGAGCCAGCTTAAAAAGTGTGGGAGGTACACTACACAGTTTTAGTCAGCACGTGCCTAGTCTACTCTCTGCTCTTAGAGGTGATCTCAGTGTGCCGATCCTTGCTGTCCATGCAGTGTTGAGAGACTTTGTTCTCGAAGACAGCTCCAGGTGAATGGGACTGGGAAGCCCAAGGGATCAGATCCCCTTGTAAGGCGTCTCCCTCCGGACGTTAAAAACACTCAGGACCAATCAGGACTTGGGTCAGCTCACAATGATGGGGAAGCCTCCGCACTCACACTCAGAACCCTTTCCAGCAGGTCCAGTTTGTCCCTGTCCATCTGCAACACACCAACATGGAGGCTGGGACTGAGACCGCATTCCACAGGGTCAACCACCAGGGCCACAGGCAATGGCCTCAGTCATTGGCTAGTGTGACTGCTTGCCCATGTTTCTCAAACTACCTTAAAAAACAAAAACAAACAAAAAAAAAACCTAGTGTGAAGAGGGGGTGAAAGGTAACAACTCCCGCACAGACACCAGTGGCTTTGCTTCTGTGGATTTCCTAAAGCAACAGCTTGACTACACCCTGGGCTGACGGCAGCGACGGTGAGGACAGATTTGAAGGCGGCTTCCCAAACTCCAGGCGTTTTCCCGACCTTCAGACAGAGCAAACCAAATTAAGCAGACATTACAGCTGTTACGACTGACTAGCATCGGGGCCCACAGTTACAAGAATGAATATCAAGAGTCAGGAGCAGGGTCACTGCGTCTCAATTTTCTCTCCTGTGAAATGAAGAAAAGGACACTGGCTGTCTAGCGCTCCCATTCCCAAGGCCACACCAGAAGCCCAGGTGCAGAAGACCCTCTTTAAAGGTCTGGAAGTTACGTGCGTTCCCACGGAAAACAATTCTTCATTTCCTGTCACCTGTTTGCCAGGGACCCACCAGATTGTGGCTTGGGGTCCAGTAAGATGGTGGCACATCTTAGAAAGTTACTGATGCTGGAAGCTTACTGATTTTCTTCAGGCAAGAAAGTACATGAAGCCATTAAAGGTCAGATTTGTTTTCCAATCCAGTGACTGGCTTCAGGATTCTAGTCTGGCTGGAATTTATTGCCAGTTTCCAGAAGGTTCTAAAGTTTGTTTTGTTTTTTAATTTTTTATTTAAATCCTCTTCTGGAGGAAGCAGAGCAGTATTAGAAGTTCAAGTCCCAGACAAGTGATTTATACAGGACATCCTCACAGTGTGACCAGAGCTGGGACTGCAGAATCTGATAAAACACAAGCCTCTCCTTGGCCATTTGCCCAAATAGAAGACACCACCTAATTCTGTCTCCAGGGACAGGGTAGAGTTCACTGACATAAACCTGCAACTTTTAAAAAATAGCTTTCGGGCCCAACTTGTGTGGCCCAGTGGCTGAGCATCAATCTATGAACCAGGAAGTAATGGTTCAATTCCAGTCAGGGCACATGCCCGGGGTTGTGGGCTCAATCCCTAATAGGGGTTGTGCAGGAGGCAGCTGATCGATGATTCTCTCTCATCATTGATGTTTCTCTCTCTCTTACTCTCTGAAATTAATAAATATATACATGTATGTGTGTGCGTGTATGTGTGTGTGTGCGTATGCGTATACTATATATATCTATAATAAAAGCGTAATATAATAATAAAAGTGTAATATACTAATTAGACCAGATGTCCTTCCAAAGCCAGGGCTGCGAGGGAAGCCTGGGTCCCAGGTGCCAGACGGAGAAGCCAGAACGGCAGCCGGAAGGCCTACTCTTGCACAAATTTCGTGCATTGGGCCTCTAATTATATATATGTATTTTTTTTTAAATGGCTTTTGGTCAGAGCTAGAGGATCCCACCTCGAGTGACAGCAAAAAATACTGACCCTTTATCGCCCAGAGGCACGCTGGTGCTGCTTGGCCGTCTGTCACCACCATCTCTGCTCTTGCTGGCCCGCCCTGAGGTGGGGCCACCTGTCCGGTTTGGGGACTGCTCGTACACGAAGTTCCGGCAGGATGCGAGTTTGGACTCCAGTGCCTGGAGAGAAATAGGCTTTCATCTCTCAAGTTAAAGACAAGAACTCGTATCTCTCACTGGAGCCTAAAGCAGTGTGTTGTGCACTGGAATTCCCAAGTGGGGCCCAAAGGAATCCAATGCACAGCCAACTTAGACCTGCAGGCCTAAGATATTTAGCTGCTTCCTGGAAATCACTAACTACCAATTATCCAACCCTGCCTATGGGAAATATGAAGGTCTGAGCAAGGACTTTGCTTTGCTGTAAACAGACCCCACAAAAACCAAAAGGGCACTGAGACCCTCCCCAAGCTTCTCTACACGCTAACTGTGCAAAATATTCAGAGAACTGTTCATATAACAGAAAATCAGATGATCCAAAGCCCAAAGTAAAAACATAAGGAGTTGCAAGCTCCTATTGAGTTGCAGCTCTGAATACATAAATCCTGGTTGGTGACAGACTGACAGGAGTTAAATTATGTGGCCTGCTGAGCATCATTTTAAAAAGTAAAATGAAAACTACAACGAATACCTATGTTATTTCTTAAATGCAAAAGAATCCTTCCCTGTAATTAATATAAAACCTATTAAGTTCCCTGCCCTAGCCTTTCAAGATTTTCTCTTAACTCCCTGAGAAACAAAGGGAAGGCAATTTTCAAATGTTTCTGTTTTTTCAAATTAAGAAAAAAAATCATACACACCATTTGAACTTCCCAAATTCCAAGGAAAAAACGGTACAGGGAAATAAACATCTATCCAGGGATCAAAGAGATGACTTAGAGTCAAGGCCCACAGAAGCGTCCATAATTCTAAAGGTTGTGACAGACCTCGAGCTACACCTAGGACTCATGAACTCTGTTAAAGGGGAAAGGAAGTGGTAAGGTCATCATCCCTCGCCAACTTCCTGAAGGACAGGCAAAAAGCAAAAAGCCACAGCAAACCCAGGGAGGCGCCAGTTGGTCTTACCCCCACTTTCCGCAGCAGGTCTCCCACGATGTTGAGGGCTGATATCCGGGCCGCAGGCGTGAGGGGGGTCCCACCTGTGGAGTCATCTAGACCTGGGTGTGCAAAAGGAAGTACATGTAACACCAACCCACAGTCATAAGTCTGTGCACTGACATGGCTAAATGCAAAACCCCAGGGGCAGGCGGGGGAGGCTACTCTTGCCTTGGATTCTGGATGCTTCCCTGTTTTTTCATTCAATAGTTAACTATCTCACACAGTGAGAGCCTATTTAATGACCAACCTGTATTAAATATTTATCTTTACATGTTACTCTTCTACAACTAAATCAACAGAGCCCTGAAGTCCTAGGAATTCCACATAGCAATTTAACACCAAGAGCCTCTGAGCCAACCACACTTGTAAGGGTTCTATACTCTGCAGAGCCTCCCTCCTCAAAGCAGACCAGGCACCAGCAGCACAGAATCCCTTGGGCACTTGCTAGAAACGCATCTCAGGCTCCACCCAGACCTACTGAATCCGAGGTGCATTTAACAAGATGCCCGGCCAACACATGTGCCTGCCAACATGTGGAAAACACTGCTCTAGACTGGGAGTCTGAAATCTCACCAGTCTCTTCATCCCCAGGGACGAGCTAAGGGATAAAACAGTATATAGCAGTGGAAGCCCAGAAGCCAGCCTGCCTAGGCTTGAATCCCAACTCTGCCATTCACCAGCTGGGTGGCAAGCCCCTCAACTCAGGCCTCCGTCTCCTCAGCCATCAAACAAGGGTAGCACTTTCATTATTTGCACTTTGGGCCTGTGGTGAGAATTCATGTGTCTGTCTGTATGTATGTAGGTGTGTGTGTATATACCTATATGCATTCATATATACATGCATATGCATATAGATATATGCAAAGCACTTTAAGCAGGGTGACTGGCACATACTGAGCACTCAATAATTTTATATTATTATTATTGGCTATTAAGTAACCCTTCAGAATCTCACAGTTAATCAGTCAGCAGAGAGACTGGGGTGAAAACTCAAATTCCTCATTTCTACAACACAGCACAGGTCACAGTGGCTCCATTTCTAGTTGGATATGTTGCTGGACCCACAAAACACTTTTTGTTTGGTTACCAAAATTTAAATCTGGAAGAGTTCATATTCAACAAGAGGATTCTGGCTTCTGGTGAAGAAGGGAAATGCCTACTAATGCTGGGCCTAAATCTCCTGTGGCAGGAGCAGAGCTCCCTCCAAGTGAGGCTTCCGTTTTCCAGCTCATCACAGACTCCACTGCTCTCTATTGCCTCACACCCAAGAGGCTCTTCTCACGTGCCTCAATGCTCTGCCCTGTGAGCATCCCAGTTTGCTCCCTGCTGTCTAGCCCAGTCCAATTTCTCTCTCACTCAGGAAAGCTTTGTGAAGCAAAGAAAGTCCCCCCCGACTCCATTCTTCTTACCACGTCTGAACGTCCCCGGTGTGAAGCTAGAGCTGGGTCCCCGATGTGCCACAGGAGTGGACGGCACTGAGCCAGTGGCCTGCACGGCTATGTCTGTCCTTTCAGCTGCCACCGAGCTGGGCATGGGAGTCCTGGGTTTCTCCTGCTTTTGCTGCACGGCCAATTCCTGCCGCAAATCTGCACGAGGGAAAGAATTCAGATTAAGCCTTAGCACTGGGTGATGAGAATGGAGATGTGGAAGGGGGAGGGGAAGGGGTCAGCAGTAGACACTGATCAAGGAAAAGAAACAGGGTGAAAAACTCGAGCCAGAAACCCTGAATGACATGAAACCCACAGGATATTGCCTAGCCGGCTTGTAAAACTACATGATTTTTCTTTTGAGTAAAAACCAAAAGGTGTAAAAAAAATTAACTATGGCAGTGATAAACTAATGCTTTTATTGTTTCAAAAGAATGCCAATGCAGAATTCTAAGTGAAAAAATATGCTTCCCCAACCCATCCCCAAATGCCCCTCCCTCACTCATCAACTCTCATAACATGGAGATCTTTCTAATCCCTTTTCTCTGCATTTTCAAACATACGATTTATACAGGGTGGGGCAAAGATAGGTTCACCGTTGTTCATACAGAAAATAATACAATAACTAATAGTAATACGAGAATAAACTATGTTTCACATACTCAGAACGGTACACCTACTTTTGCCTCACCCGGTATGTATGTGTATATCTATTAAGCCTCTAATATGAATGATTTTTAGTTAGCATAAACAGAAACATACATCTACTGTCTATGACTTATCTTCCTCCCTTCAGTGGTCTGTCCTAACAATTGTCCTATAATTGCATTTATATCTATACCGTTAGTTTAAACATGGGTTAACACTGCACAAAATAAGTCTATGTAATTTATTTAACCACTTCCTTACATTTAGGAACAACTATTCTTAAACTTGGCTTTTCTTTTTTAAATATATTTTTACTGATTTCAGAGAGGAAGGGAGAGGAGATAGATATAGAAACATCAATGATGAGAGAGTATCATTGATCGGCTGCCTCCTGCATGCCCACCACGGAGGATCAAGCCCACAACCTGGGCATGTGCCCTTGACTGGAATCGAACCCAGGACCTTCCAGTCCACAGTCTAATGCTCTATCCACTGAGCCAAACCAGCCAGGGCTGAGCTTTTCTTTTTAATCCCTCTTCTACTGGCCACACTTTATAAACTATAAATGTTATAAACAATTAACTGGAGCTTTAAGTGTGGTCCCAGACAGCCTGTGTGCCAAGCAGGGTGCAGATTTCCAGCATAGGTGACACCAGGCAGTGCTCTCAGGTAGGGAGAGGGGACAGTGCTGGTGAGGGCAGGGGGAACAAATCCCAGGCCTCCTGACCTCTGGCTTCATCCTTCAGTCGCTGAACAGATTCTAGGAGATTCTCCTTCTCATCAAGCTCGCTCTCCAAGAAGGCATTTCTCTCAATGGCTTGATTCAAGCGCTGCTCAAAGTCTTCCAGAGACATGATCGTGGCTCTGGGCAAGAGAAAAGCAAAGTTGTCCAAGAGAGCAATCAGCGACATTTATCTGGTGCCTACACACTGGGAGATGAGAAGGGTCAGACACATGAGGGTGTTAAGTACCAGCACTGGCATTTCCTAGAAACCACAGACTTGAGCAAGCCAACGCCTTCATCTTCTGGGACCTGGCCCTTCACCTACAGAATGGGAATTGTCTTAGCTCATGAGGTGCACAAAACTGTACTGAGGATTAAATGAGATAACATCCATACAAAACTTAGCAGTGAGCCAAGGCCTCAGTAGGACCAATCAACTGCCAACGGGTCCATCTTCTCTTGAAGACGATCACTGCAAACAGTACTCAGAATATCTGACTAAAATGCATACACATGCATTTAAACAGATAAAAGAAACTATCTTTAATTTCTCAAGTACCATAAAACATTTAAAAGTTCAAAATGCCCAGCCCAGCTGCTCTGTTAACCACCACTTCTGTGGACAGTGTAGACATGCCAATGGAACGCTGTGTGACAGGCACTGAGAAGTGCTGGGAAAAGAAAGTTACCTTTTCTGAGGCACTGGCACAGTTTCCTCGTATGCAAAGCGGGGACAGTGCCTCCACAGGGGTTTGGACTGGGGACAAGTAGAGTAATACAGGAAGCGTGCAACAGATGTTTCACACATACCATAAGTGCTTAATAAATGTCAGCAATTTTTATTACTGACCCCATGTTTGTCTCCAGAAGACCTTTAACATCCTGTTCATTGTATCTCACGGTGATGAGAAGCATCTGTTAGGAGTGGAACCCAGGAGTTAACACCTGTCTCTCCCACGTAAGACTAGCTAGGTGTCCTTGGATAACCCAATGTTTCTGGGCTTTCAACAGCAAAGTGGGATTGACACTGATTTATTCAACATAACCTACTATGTCCAGATTGAGTCATATTAGTACCTACCCTCAAGGTAAATAAGATAAAGTTACCAAACGGGCCTGAAGGAAAACAACAAAGGGACAACATTTAGGAGTACAACATTGGAATCAGTTAAAATGACCCTCAGGCTGACATGTCAAACAACAACAAATATAAAAAAAAGACACGAGAATTTATGATAAAGATGGCATCATAATCATTGATGAAATATGGGTAGTTCAATTCTAGGTTTGAGGTCTATGGATAGCCACCTGGAAAAAATTAATATTGGGGAGAAACCAAGATGGCGGCATAGGTTAACGCCAGAGTTTGCTGCCTTGAACAACCACTTCAAAAATACAACTAAAAGACGGAATGGACATCATCCAGAACCACAGGAAGGCTGGCTGAGTGGAAGTTCTACAACTAGGAGGAAAGAGAATAGCATACCGAGACTCAGAGGAGGCACAGTGCTGAAGTCAAATACTAAGGTGCGGAGTGCATGCGGAGCGGGCTGGCGGCTGAGGGCGTGGTTGTCTGTTTCAATCGGGAGGGAGTCTCAGACTGAGCTCCAGATCCGGGCGAGTCTCTAGGGACCCAGACTCAAACGGGAGAAGCGGGACTGTCTGGCTTCCATCAGAACTCGAAGGCAGCTTTCTCTCCAAGGTTTGCAGCGGTTGCTGGGACTCTGAGAGGCAGAGCCCCTGGGGACGGGACTGAGAGCAGCCATAACTGCTCCCTCCACCACCCTGTGGATCCCCTGGGACCCGCCCCGCCCAAGCCCTGCATAGAGGCATTTGCCAGATGGTCTCAGGCAAAGGCAAGATTAGCACCTCCCTAGAAGACAGAAGTTCTCTCACTGCAGACATAGCTGATTCTCACAACCAGTTGGCCTGGAGGTCAAATCCCCCCCAGTATTACCTACAACAATCAAGGCTTAACTACAACAATACTGCGCACAAAGACCACTAGGGGTTGCACCAAGAAAGCATAAAAAATGCGGAGACAAAGAAACAGGACGCAAATGTCAGAATTGGAGGATATAGAGCTCAAAACCACACATTTAAGGTCTTTCAATAATTTTCTAGAAACTGCCGATAAACTTAATGAGATCTACAAGAAACCTAATGAGACCCTCGATGTTGTGATAAAGAACCTACTAGAAATTAAACATACACTGACTGAAATAAAGAATATTATACAGACACCCAACAGCAGACCAGAGGAGCGCAAGAATCAAGTCAAAGATTTGAAATGCGAAGAAGCAAAAAACACCCAACCGGAAAAGCAAAATGAAAAAAGAATCCGAAAATACGAAGATACTGTAAGGAGCCTCTGGGACAGCTTCAAGCGTACCAACATCAGAATTATAGGGGTGCCAGAAGATAAGAGAGAGCAAGATATTGAAAACCTATTTGAAGAAATAATGACAGAAAACTTCCCCCACCTGGTGAAAGAAATAGACTTACAGGTCCAAGAAGCGCAGAGAACCCCAAACAAAAGGAATCCAAAGAGGACCACACCAAGACACATCATAATTAAAATGCCAAGAGCAAAAGACAAAGAGAGAATCTTAAAAGCAGCAAGAGAAAGAAACTCAGTTACCTACAAGGGAGTACCCATATGATTGTCAGCTGATTTCTCAACAGAAACTTTGCAGGCCAGAAGGGAGTGGCAAGAAAATATTCAAAGTGATGAATGCCAAGAACCTTCAACCAAGATCACTTTATCCAGCAAAGCTATCATTCAGAATAGAAGGTCAGATAAAGAGCTTCACAGAGAAGGAAAAGCTAAAGAAGTTCATCACCACCAAACCAGTATTATATGAAATGCTGAAAGGTATCCTTTAAGAAGAGGAAGAAGAAGAAAAAGGTAAAGATACAAATTATGAACAACAAATATGCATCTATCAACAAGTGAATCTAAGAATCAAGTGTATAAATAATCTGATGAACAGAATGAACTGGTGATTATAACAGAATCAGGGACATAGAAAGGGAATGGACTGACTATTCTTGGTGGGGGAAGGGGTATGGGGGATGCGGGAAGAGACTGGACAAAAATCGTGCACCTATGGGTGAGGACAGTGGGTGGGGAGTGATGGTGGAGGGTGGGGCGGGAACTGGGAGGAGGGGAGTTATGGGGGGGGGGAAGAGGAACAAATGTAATAATCTGAACAACAGAGATTTAATTTAGAAAAAAATTAATGTTGGATCTATATACCTCATACTGTACCCCCAATATAAATTCCACCTGGATCAGAAATTTAAACTCAGTATTTGGTCAAAATCTACCACTGGCTTCTGGAATGCCAGAGAATTGAAAACCAACTTCAGAGATATTTCTAGCATGCTTGAACCTGTGTGGGTCAATGATCATTGATTTATTAGCACAGCACGTAGATTTATTATTACTATGTGAGTATTTACTTTCAACTAAAGGTAAGCATCCCAGTTGCAACCTGAGTGAAAATAGCTTATGTGCCTTAGACATTGAAATTCTGTCAAATGATACATAAAAGCATATTTATAGGAGTAAAATGCTGCAATGCATAAGGACTGTGAAAACAGTTAATCTGGTGTACAGTTACTAAGAATTTGAAAATAGTTAAATAGGAAAATACAGTTTTAGTAAATATGAATATTAAGAGATACATCTGTTAGGTAACTGAGAACAAGTCCCTTTGGGGCCAATAAATGCTTTTAACGTTTACATATTACCTCATGCCCATCAGAATGGCCACTCCCAAAAAGCCAGGAAATAAAATGTTGGTGAGGATGCTGAAAAATTGGGATTTTTGTTCACTGTTCATTAGAATGTAAGAGCAGTCATTATGGAAAATAGTATGGAAGTTCCTTAAAAAATAAAAAATAGAATGATCCAGCCGTCATACTTCTGGGTATACATCCAAAAGAATTGAAAGCAGGCTCTCAAAAGAAATATTCATGTTCATATTAGCATTATTCACAATAGCCAGGAGGTGGAAGCAAATTAAGACAAATACATAAAGAAAATGTGATAAATACACACAATGGAATATTATGCAGCCTTAAAAAGGGAGGAAATCCTGTCACATGCCACAGCATAGATCAGTGATGGCGAACCTCTGACACACGAACTCATTTTTTTGGTTGATTTTTCTTTGTTAAATGGCATTTAAATATATAAAATAAATATCAAAAATATAAATCTTTTGTTTTACTATGGTTGCAAATATCAAAAAATTTCTGTATGTGACACGGCACCAGGGTTAAGTTGGGGTTTTTCAAAATGCTGACACGCCGAGCTCAAAAGGTTCGCCATCACTGATATAGATGAACCTCAAGGACATTATGCTAAGGAACCAACGCAGTCACAAAAGGACATTTACTGTATGGTTCCATTCATATGGAGTATCTACGGTGGTCAAAAATCATAGAAACAGAAAGTAGAAAGGTAATTACGAAGGGCGGGAGGGTAAAAGGGGGAATTAATGTTGGTAGGTTTAGAGTTCCAACACTGCAAGATGAAAAAGTTCTGGAGATCTGTTGCACAATAATGGTAATACAGTTAACACTACTGGACTCTATCTTTTTAAAAAACAGCTAAGACGGTAAATTTGATTTTGTGGTTTTTTTAGCACAAAAAATAAAAAATTAAAAAGTCTATGTAATAACAACCCATAAAAGAGTAAAATTAGATTAAATCGATTTTAATCTTTGTAGATTTTTTTGGTATACTAAGTAAAATAACCTTTAAGGAATGTATTTAATTTTTAGTCACTTCCAATTCGGTCCTAAGTCTTTCAGGGTTATACTTGCACAAGGTTATCCCCCTCCTCAGTTTAATGTGAGCATTTAGTTTTACAGAGGTACAGTGTAGGGACCATAACAAGCAAACAGCTGATGGTGTCAAAGGATTATTGTTCTGCAGCAGACTGTCAAATGTCCCAAATATAACTAATGAAATTTTATAATAAAAGTGTAATGTTCTTAAGGTTTTAAAAACAAAAGTTTTGTGTTCCAGAACTTTATTCATTGTATAATGGTGATTTGGGCTCCTACCTCATCTGATTTAACATTCAACTTGGCCAAAATGAGAACCAATGCAATTTTAGTAAAAGAA